ATATAAATATATATGGTCTCCTCCACTATAACGACGTCATTTTGGTGGGGGGAAATATCAACCCTTGGATCACTCTAGTGGGGCAAGTGTCGCACTCTGGAGGATTACTCTAGATGATCATCACTTCATAGGATCACTCTAAAGGATTCAGATGCTTTAAAAATAGCTATATGCCCCCATGTGATTTTGGATTAAAATACAACTATTAACATCGTTAACTATAGATGTGAAATGACTATAATACTATCAAACCTTACATTTTTTGTTATTTTTTTATCTCTGATATCTCATACACACAATACTATTAATTCAATTAAATCATAATTAATTATAAATTCTTAATTATTTATTGTAATTCTGAAATTTTATTCTAAATTTAATATAGTTATTTTTTAAATCATAATTAATCCTAAATATTTAATTATTTATTATAATTACTAACTTTTTAATTTAATTATATTTTTCATCAAAATTAATCCTAAATTCTTAATTATTTATTATAATTTCTAACATGTTAATCTAATTTTAATTTAAATACATTTTAGATCAATTCTTAATTATATTTTATTTTATTTTATTCTAATTAACATATTAATCTAATTTCAGGTTTCGATAAAATAGGGGTAAAATTATCCTTTTATTATATTAATTTCATTCTGTTTTTTCAAAAAAACTCGCTGTAAAAAATGGTATGTGTAATACACTTTCCATTAGTTTTGATAGAAAAACTAACAGTATTACTTTAGTTCAAAACTATATAGGGGCTTTCTATCTATATTTGAACCATAGGAGGGTAAAGTGCTCCAATCCCAAACCACAGGGGTAAAATAAATTTAATCCAAAAAAATTTAAAACTTTTCTATATATTTTTTTACACATTTCTTCGTAAAAAATTTAAAAATTAATTAAAATAATTAATTCCTAAAACAACTCTAACAACAACTCTCATTGGCTGATTGGGTTTGACAATTGCATTTTAACCCTTCTTTTTACTAATTGTTTTTATTTTTAATTAATTTGTTTTTTTCGAGTTTTTCAAATAAAACGTTTAGGTCAGAATTCAATTTCAAAATTTTTTTGGCTGATAGGCCCAAGTATATAATTTGTTCGGCTAAATGGATACTATTTGTCTAAAACGACAAATATCTCTTCAAATGTCATGTCATCTATATGTCTAATTATCTATTCAAATATTCAATTATCTATTCAAATCAATTATCTATTCAAATATCCACCTATCTGTATACTTGTCATCTATCTATTTAGTGTAACCTATTTGTTCACCTCACTATTGGTGATTTTTGATAACTTTTCAGCCCATATTTTTGTCACAAAAAAAGATTAAGTATTGAATTAAATAACATAGGACCCATAAGAATGAATTTTTCACCAATTAACTCTCAACTATATTTATTTTTAAAGACACCTTGTGGGAATTTTTTTTCGTAGATCTCAGTCATGAGAAATTTATCCAATGGGTGTTTTAGAAAGATAGTTAAAAATTGATTTTTTAGTTTTTTTTTGACTTTTAAAAAAAATATATATAAAAAATGTGAGAGATGATGTGACTCATAATGAATTAAAAAAGAGTGATTTTACTTTCGCCACTATTTTACCTCTTTACACCCTCCATCTCATTACATCACTAAAAAAAATGTAATTCTCATTACACCCCTAATATATTACCAAAACTAACCCTAAATTAACTATTTCATCTTTTTACACCACTAATTTTTTGAGGAAAAAAAGAGAAGCAACAGAGAAAAAGAGAAAATAGGAAAGATAAGGGGTTCGGTAGAGCCCATAGTGAAGTGTTTGTTTGGTTACACAGTACTAGACAATTTACATTCTTCTGATGTTATGTTGCCGGGAAAAATAAGTTTGTCCAGCGTTTTGTTGCTATATATTTACATAGCCATTTTATTCCAAACAATAATTTGGACCTGTTCGGTAATACAATGCTAACGAATTTGAATTCATCGAGTGCCATGTTACCAGAAAAACTTTTTTTCTTAGCAATATGTTGTCGTTCGATTGGATGATAGCAAGAAATTAATTCCGATTAGTTGTGAAGTGTTTATTTGGTGATACATTACTATACAAATTGGATTACTCTAGTGTCATGTTGCCAAACTATCATAGATTTGTCTAGGCACTTGTCGATATACATTGAAAGATTTACTTTTTTCTTTAAACATCCATAAATCAAACACGCATCCATAAAATCATAGATAAAAAGTATCCATAAAATTATTCATTAAAAAATCAATGTATGAATATCCATAAAAACATTCATAAAATCCGTCGCTGTTTGCATATTTTAATCAAACATGTTATCATAATTCGCCTATATCAATAGTTTTAGTAGTTACTACATCAGGGCTGACAAGAATACGAAATTGATGAATATGGATAGTATATGCTTTCTCTCATCCACTAGCATACGGGTGATGAAAACAAATCCAATTATTTGCTATCGGAAGTACTGGATGACCAGGTTGCAAATAAACCTATAACAAAGAAATCAATAAGTAGAATTACAAAATATGACATGGTAATGATTAAAGTATGCTCGGTAGTTACCTACACGAAACGGTTTCCATTTACAAATCCTATACAGATATCTCTTTGATTAGGTGTTACAATCAATACTGCTCTAAGTGATAGAAATGTCAAGCATTATTGCATGGATAAATGATAAAGAATGACTCGATAGTATGATGCTATCAAATGGCCTATGTTGGGCATAGTCATCCAATGATTACATCCAGGGCTAGGTTCGAAGTAGGATAAGATAGAGGTAAGGTCATTAACCCTTTCTTGTGAACCAAATAGTTACACGTAGTGCACTACATTCAAATACAGCTCATTCGACAAGTTTTGCCTACCTTGTTGCCAATCATATTCACCTAAACCAATCAATCCAGTTATTGCCCTGAAACCACAATTGCCATCTGCTTGTACATTTTTTATGTGACGGATATATGGTCTTAACTTCTCTAGAAATTGTTCGAAGTAAGAGATATGATTTGATTTAAGCAATATCTCTTCGTTTCAATGTAATCAATATCGCTTTTGGTAGCACCATACTCTTTGACATGTCAACTAATAAGTATGTTTCCTCATTAGATAATCTGCCAGCACCTATCAACCTCAATCATTCCCCCTTGATCTTCATGTTGTCTCTATAGTAACCGCTCATTTCACAAGCAAGTGTAAGTCTTGATTTTCTGCCATTACCTCCTGCATCTGATATCTTTATAATAATGACAAATCCAGTCTTCTTTTCAACGTTAGAAGCCCATTTAATTAATGCTTGATGACTACTAAAAATCTAAACATAATAAACATATTTATATGTCAAATTATTAATAAAACTCAATACAAATTAAAAATAAGAAAAAATTATATTCGTAAAAACACTTAACAAACCTCGTTCGTAATGAATTTATGACTGAAGTCCACTAATAATGAAATACTTGCATTGTTGCAATGAGTATAAGTATAATCCTTCAAGGCAAAAAAATAAAACTGAAAATACATGGTAATGATTAGCTGAACAAATAAAAAAAATTCGGTGTTAGGTTATTGGAAATGTATCTTTTATTTGGCATTTAGTTACTAGACTTATATTTTTGTTCGGCAATATCATGTCGGACTATTTTATTTTGTTTGATTTCGAAACACCGAATAAAAGTCGAAGAATAGTTTAGAAAAACAAAACAAAAACCGTCCAAACAAATAAAAAAACTCACAATTTCACTTTTTTGATGGTTCTTCACCACTATTTATTCATCCATTGCTTTCTTTGATGATTAAAATACTATGATTCTCACTTTTTGAAAAGAGATGTGTAAGAGAAAAAAAAAATTGAAAAAAAAAAAAAAGAAGAGTAGGAATTGAAAACCAAGAAGTGTAAGGGGATAATAAAATATATTTAGGTTGCGTTTGGCAGAGTTTTGTAAATATGATTTGAGAGTATGAATTGTATTTTGAGTTTGTGAGTTGTGAAATTATAATTTGAGTGTAGAAAATTTATTTGGTTATCGTTTTTGAATAGAATGTTGAATTGAGTTTTGAATTATATGTGATGTGACATGTGAAATAAGAAAATTTGTTTGGTGATAAATTTTCAAAACTTAATTCAATCTATAATTGATAATCAAACACACAACTCATAACTCGATATCCGTATTTTTGATCAACAGTTATAACCAAACTATTTTTAAAATACTCAAATAAAAAAATGATTTTTTTTTTCAATTAATTGTTTTTAAGTAATTTTTTTGAATAATTATTTTTTCAAATAATTATTTTTTCAAATAACTTCTATGTCAATTATTTTTTGTCAATTAATTTTTCTGTCAATTAATTTTTTAGGCCTGTATAAACATAAAAATATTTTAAAATTATTTAGAAAATTAAAATATTAAAAATATTTAGAAAATTAAAATATTAAAAATATTCCGAAAATTAAAATATTAAGAATATTAAAAATATTTCGAAAATCAAAATATTAAAAATATTCCAAAAATCAAAATATTTACAATTAAAATATCAAAATATTAAAAAAAATTTTGAAAATTAAAATACTAAAAATATTCCTATAAAATAGAATAAAATATTTAAAATAAAAAAATAAAAAAAATTTAAAATTGAGTTTTGAAAAGAATTTTGAGTTGTGTGTTTGGTTATAAGTTTTGAAAAATAATGATTATAGTTTGAAATGAGTTTTGGGAAATGGGTGTAGAATTATGTTTTGAAAACTACAATCAAATACTACACTCAAATCAATGGTAAAATTATGTTTTGAAATCCAAACCAAATAAAACTTTAATTTTAATGTTTTATCTTTAAAAATAATTTCACACGTAAATAAAATTAAAAAAAAATCATATAAAAAGTATAAACAAATAAAATAGTGATATAAGTAAAATCGCTCTTAAAAAATAGCTTTCGACTTTAAACGTGTTGCCAAATTAGCCCTCGGTATCTGAGAAATATTGGTCACACCATTCATGTTTGAACAAGTGTATCTTCCCTAAAGAAACAAACAAATAGAAGGATCACTATTTCAACCATGAGATACCTCCGGATTTGCTCCGGGGGGGCAATGACTAATTTCTCGTCAACGGTTTTCCTTTTACTGCATCACCAAGCGGTCCATAACCGTCACCCTCCTCGTCAACTTCATCCAGAAGATGACAGGTACTGCATCTCAAAAGTCAAATACACTGACACACCCAAAGAAAAGAGGAGAAACCGAGAAAAACTTGGAAAAAACAATGGAGCCCAACAAGGTCCTTTTTTTCCACCCCTATTTCGTCAATTCGTCCTCTTATTCGCTAGCAAAGTCTCAATTCCAGGTCATTGTGTTACGTCCTAAGTTCCTGTCTTCCTGTATATATAGAGACATAGATAGTTTCCATTTAACTTGGGTATATTTTTGTTTCTTTGACTTGATACAATCTGAAAAACTTCATCAGAAAGACGAATTGTAAGCACCCAATACAGAAATTCTAGTTTTCTTGTGGTACGTCTGTCAAGTGTTTGCTTAAATTACTCATAGATACTGACTTGGGTTTTGTTATTATTCGGTGATGATGAGCAGTTGTTGTTGGGATGGCTACTACTGTGGGAGGGAATGTGGAATCCTCAGCAGTTCCTACGTCGGTGCCGGTTCGAGTAGCCCATGAGCTTCTTCAAGCTGGACATCGTTATTTGGATGTCAGGTACAAATTTATTCATTTGGGTTTGTTTCTTTGCAGAGTTGTTTTCAGAATTACAAATCCATGTTTGTTTGCCCAGAAATGTTACTGCTTGTGTTTTAATTATTTTTGTTGGTGGTGGTGGGTGTGACTCTGTGTGTGTGTGTGTGTGTAGGACTGCTGAGGAGTTCAGTGCTGGGCATGCTGTTGGGGCCACCAATGTTCCTTACATGTTCAAAGTTGGATCAGGTTTATGTCAATTACTGAAAGCAATTCTGCAATTCAATCTATTAATAAAATAGTTTTTATTTGTTTAGATCATATATTCGGGTAGAAATTTGGATTCATCCACATTTTTCATTTCCTTTTCTAATTCCCTACCCAAATCCATACTGTTTGGTGAGAAATACTTGTGTTCCTAGCACTCAAAAACGGGTCAACTCACGTTTAGGGTGTGTTTGAATCATGGATTTGGGTAGGGTTACTCACCTTTTTGTTTTCCCTTTCCAAATCCCTTCCCCTTTCCAAATCCACGATCCAAACACAGCCTCGTGGTTTATGCACTTTACCTTCCCCTCAATCCGTTGCTCCATCAATTCGAACTCCTTACCTTCCCCTCACCACACCCTAAAGTGTAGCTACAAGACCACTGGGCCAACCCAAGGTCATGGTACGCACTTGTAGGAAGATATTTATGCATTGCAACTATGTAAAAAACTATAATTCTTTTCTGTTCTGTTTACTTCTTTGCTCTGCTGTAGATTTGTCAATTTCACTGTTTTATGTCTAAACTTTTGGGAAAAGCGTGAGGTTCTACAGCTAAATACTAGGGGTGAACATCTATATTGAACTTACTCTGGGTTTTATGTTGGACTTTCTTAACTTCAAAACTGGAAGTATTTCATTGAGGCTTATGCAATTGATAGAAGCTCAACAGCATATCAACAGTGATTCCATGCCTGCCTAACTTGCTTAAAATCAATGTTTACCTATGGAGTAGTGCTATTCTAGCCCAAAAGTTAGACTCATTTTTCAAATCTAGCGATGTAGCAGTTTATTAAAATATCTAAGGCAACTTTCTTTCATGTTTTTCCTAATCATCAGCCAATAATTTCTTTTACACATCACTGGGTCTTAAAAATGGGTCAAGAAAGTAGACTTCTATATCATTTTCTTTACCTATAAAGGGGAGACGAATGTGATCCAGGACAAGTACTGGGCTTTTTACAATCAATACGGTTCTTTTAAAAATTTGGCCTTTTCAACTTATTTCCCAAACTACATGTACTAAACATGCTTTTAATAACCACGCTTTCTAATTTTCTATTTTATTTCAAACTTTGAGGAAAATGTGGCTGCTAACAACGCTTTTATCAATTTTGCTTTTTCTACACTTTGACTTCAAACTTTGAGGAAAATGTGGCTGCTAACAACGCTTTTATCAATTTTGCTTTTTCTACACTTTGACTTTTAACAAATTTTTACTCTAAACCTAGCTTCAAATTTCTACTATACACGCTTTCAAAAAACGTGTTTAGTTGCATGCTTTTCACTTAGAATAGGAAATAAGTTAAAAAAGTCCCTACATTTAAAAAAAAAAAAAAAAAAAAAAAAAAAAAAAAAAGAACTTCAAAAAATATATGAATGTTAATGGTAACAAGCCCAAGGGCACAGTCTTGGCGTCAACATTTATGCATAAAACCTATTTTTTGCATGTCAACCCTTTAGGCTTGGTACGAATTAACATTTATTTTTCCATTGTTTATGTATACAGCCCACTAGTTCTTTCAATTTGTCGCTTTATTCTTCTTTTATTCATCGATGCAGGGATGACAAAGAACCCTAAGTTTCTGGAGGAAGTATTGTTACAGTTTACAAAAGATGACAAGATTATTGTTGTGAGTTCCTGCCACTGGTTTTTGCCTTATTTATTCTTTGGCATGACATTGTTTTATTCTCTTTGCTGAATTTGAAAGTGTTTTACTTTCTGATGTTGCAGGGATGCCAGTCTGGCAAAAGATCGATGATGGCAGCAACAAGCCTTATATCTGCTGTAAGTACATGTCATTAATAGAAGGATCTCTACACTTATTTTGTATATGTTTAAATTACCAAAAATACTATACTCTCGTCTCGTGTTTTTATTTCTTTCATTATAGTATGAGTATGAGATAAGTGATGAAAACTTCTGTATGCATAATCTGCATGTTGGGATGCCCTTCACCAGTGTTTGTAATTTTCTTAAACCTTGTATACAAGAAATGCTATTTTCCAACTTCCGCAATAAGTTCATGTCGCACACCACATATTTCTTGACCCTTTGGTTCCCACAAAGAAACGAGAGGTGCAAAATTTTCTGCTAACTGCTGGTAGCTTCGTCCTATTGACTACCTTGTGATGCCTTACTTTTAACTTTATGACTGTCATCCTGCTGCTACTCACATAAATTTTTTGTCTTGTGTCATCCCATGAGACTGGTATGCAATCTTCTCTTCACCCTTCTAAAAATGAATTTTGACTTTTAAGAGCCTCACTTGAATGCTAATCAGAAGTTCTGAACGTATAATTAAAATGTTCTATTGGAAGTTCGGAACTTATCTATCATTGTTGAAGACACCTCCAAGTAAAGAAACATATAATCTTTGGGAAGAACTATGCAAATCTAAGTTTGCAGTTAAGAGATGAATGCGCATGAGCTTGGCATTGCATGTTGGAGGTCTACTGCTCTAATGTTGTCTGAACTTGATAGGAGTTTTTGTCATTTTAGTTTTTAGAATAGTAGAAGTCCTCTGCTTCAACCACTTACTAGCTTGTGGATTCTAAATAGAAAGATATGTCAATAAGATCACTGAAGGCTATGGTTTGATAGACTAGTCTTGAAAAGCTATATTCTTGTAGTAGTTAAGACATTTGAAGTTTTGGTGAAGAATTGATCTTTATAAGAGGCTAAATGCAAAAGCAATCAAGTAGAAATTTCTGGGAATTTGCTTGGTGATAACAAAAGCACAAAAATATTTTGTATAGCTTCAATTTTTTACGAGGTTTTTTGTTTTTTTTTTGAGATGCCCTTCTGGATGAGTTTTTATCAGCTATTGTATTCCAATTACTAATCTTCTAGTATAAAGATATTAGGTTCAAAAATATTTTATGTCAACATATTGCCTCAATTTTGGACTCAGTAAATCATTTAAAAATATTAACAGAGAGAACATATCATTTCTTGTATTCCAAATTTTTTATTGTTGGTGCCATTAATTAGGTGCATCCTTACTCCAACCCACTCATGGGTTATTTGAGTGAAACATTAGTTGTCAGATTGTGAAATCTTTAAAAAAATTGACCACAGTTGGCTTGAAACCGTTGAAGATTTTCTGCAAGTAGTTGTTAGCTTTGCATATTAATCATTTGGTGATTTGTAATCAGATTGGGATATCGTAAACTTGCACTTACGAGGATCTTAAAAAGAATTGTATGTTTTTTAGCTTTTTAATTCCACGGTTTTCATGGTTTTTGATTGGGAGGTTGCCTTTTGCTTGGGAAATGAAAATTTGAGATACTTTGATAATAGTGTGGTGAACTTGTGTAACTCATAAGCAGAACACTAAATTATACACTTCTTAGAATTATATAAGCAGTGTGTGCAAATGCAATATGTTAAACTAAATTATACACTTCTTAGAATTATATAAGCAGTTTGTGCAAATGCAATATGTTAACAATTTTACATCTCAATTTTTTTGGTGATTTGATGAATGAGAAAGATGTATTGAATTTGAAAACTGTAGACATTTATTTACTAGAGCAGTTAACAATACGGGCATTCTTGAAGAAAAAAACAAAATCTGACAGCTTCAAAAAACTGTTTTGAGTAGTGTGTTTTATATAATAGAATAGATATATAATTGTGCAGCTGGATAGTGACCATATCTCTTTGGCAGCCTTCATTTGCAAATTTATTTAAGTTTGACATGACTTATTTCTGTTGTTCCAATTAATTTTGCTGAAATGAGCTTCAAATTTGATGCAAGTTCTGCAGAACTAAATGAAACCTCAATTCTCTGATGCAGGGTTTTACAGGTGCTACAGACATGGCTGGTGGGTATGCTGCTTGGACACAGAATGGACTCCCAATAGCGTCCTGAGTCTGGCTTTTGGGCACATGATCTATTTGCTTCATGGCAATTACGGGGGGAAAAATAAAGAAAACATGAATAAAACTCGCTTAAGAAAAAGAAAATATGAATCAACATAGACCTGCATTATGGGAAGAGATTTCCAGTGAAAATGCTCAGTCTGTAATAAACACAAGATAACAACATCGACTGTTTTGTGGCCTGTATCCTTTTTCTTTTTTTGTTCTATATATATATCTATATCTCATACATGTGAAGAATTGAACTGTTTGGAAATCTTGTACTTGCATCAGGATTTTGAGAGATAAGCATGCAGCCTTGCTTTAGAAGGTAGGTAGTTTGAACTTGGTGCCAAATTGATGACATTTTCGTTTATTTTGTTTTCAAATTTTTTTTTGGAAACTAAAATTAAAGCATGCTTGTAATTACATTTAAGCGAAAGAAGTGGCAAATTTTTCAAAGTTTTGAAGGAAAAAAAAAAGTGAAGGAATTTACATTTATTTTGAAAATAAGTTTTTATGCCCATCACCCTCCTCTCGCAACCCTCTCCCCTTCCAACAGTATTTTCTATGTAGCCAATGCCACTCTTCATAATATTCCATTATTTTTTTTTGAAAATTATTAAGTAATTTTGAAATATTATACGATATTATTTTTGAAGTGCACTCAATAATTAAAAACCATAAAACACACTAGATGAATTGTCTTATCTCTCAACCAGTATTATCATATAGTATATAAAGTTTTTCACTATATTGTTGATTAACTTCTGGTAAGGGATGGGCAATTTAGTAATCACAGTATGAGTGGATTGATAAATATTATTTCTTTTCCAACAAGAAAGCAAAAAGTCAACTAAGGTTTCAGGCGCTCTTTCTTCTGGCACTGAAAAACAGAGCAAAAAGAAAAGAAAAGAAAAGAAAAGAAAAGAAAAAAGTGAATAGTATGAACAGTACGAAAGTCAATTAGAAATTACTGACCTGTAAAAAGCTCGAGACACTAGGAAAAGAAATGTTATTAGGCAGTGTATACTTGCAATTATTGCAATTATATGAGATGCCATAGCATATTGCAATTTTAATATGAATAATTCTATGAACCAGACAAAAAGAAGCAAAAATTATCCAAAAATTGAAATCAAAAGTCTAGATTCATGGATGATATGGTCTCACACATACAACTTTGATTTTACACAATACATTTAACATTCTGGACATTTTTTTGGTTTTGTTTTCATGGTCCATAGATTTTTTTTTTCTTTTAATATATCGAGACAAACAAAAATATTTTAAAACATAGAATTCTTGATATAGGCAAGAGATTAAATGCCCATTTATTTGGTGTAACTACTGAAAATTGATAATAAAAAAATAGTTAAAGACACTCCTTCTCCATATATCAAATAATTATTTTTTAAAAAATTATTTAAGTTACACATAAGCTATAAACAAAATTATTATCAAACAGTCTTGACATGGATTCACAGCATAAAAATAAAAATAAACCAATGAAACAAGCTATAAGCAACACTAAACACTATAATAACTTAACAGATTGTAGATCATAACTTTCAATAATATTCAAGAAAAATAAAAGAAAATTTTCAAATAAAAACAACTTCCTATGAGAGCTGAAAGCTGAGAAGCATACCCTAAACAACTTTTTAATATGAACTTATGTGAGATCAAATAAACTGAAATAAACTCAAGTTATTTCATCATAAATTACAAGCAACATATTATTTCTAATTAAACTAAAACTAGAAGTTAAAAGTTACAACTAATAAATTGAAAGAAACAGCTCCTAAATGTGTTCATACAACTGAAGTTAGGGAGGGGGACAAGTGTATTGTAGTGAGAAATAGGCAATGTGCACTACATAGATACAATATTTAATGGTTATGGATGGCCCACACATATGAAAAGTATACCCAGAATGAAATCTCAGGGCATCCAAGGATTGCCAGTTTACTATCCTTTCCCCACTTTGCTTTTGATAGATATAAAATGATTATCATTTCATTTCATGTCACAACTGTATGGTTCAAAGTCCATTGATCTTTTCATCCCAACCACTGATCTCTTTGACTCAGGTCCCATCTTGTTATCATAATCCCCATGATCAATAATCTTCTCTTCTTCCTTCTGGGCTTCACTTTCTTCATCTGTAAAATAAAGATGGTTTTTACAAAAATGGATTACAGAATAGAGACAAAAAGTAAGTCCGACTTGTGAAATTCACTATATATGTAGGACCTGCCATTTATCTCACATCTTTGTATCCCAGTGAAAAATTATCTGTCCACTTACCTCTACTCTTTTAAGTGCAAAGAGTGGCCGCAATGTTAAACAAAGAAATCTAAAATTGTGCCCATTTCGTCCGAACTTTTTTTCTGATTGTTTGTTGTTGTTTTTGTTGTCGTCGTTTTGTTTTTGTTTTTGTTTCCTTTTTTTTTTTGTTTTGTTTGCTATAGTATTTTTAAAAATTTTCAAGTCCCAAAAAAACAAAAGAAAAGTAAAAATCCAAAAAAATTGAGGCCAAACAGGGATCATCATGAAAAAACGAAAGAATCTTTAACTCGATTTAACAAAAATTAATCCAAACTAGTCATGCAGCTGTACAGAGAAAAAATTTAAGCACGAAGAAATTTAAAAAAATAAATAAATTAAAGACTGGTTTAAATAAGTGATGAAAGAAAATTATACCTGAGGCAGTTGCCAGAGAAAATTCCGTAAGGCGCTTAACGTAGTCCTTCAATGCTTGGAGTTCAGCTTCTTTCTCATGGAGTTTAGATTGGGCCCAATGCAGTTCAGACTCTAGCCCTACAATCGGGCTCTCTTGCTGTTCGATGAGCAAATGGCACAGTTTCTGATCCAGTTCAGATGGCAACACCCCACTCAATTGACAAGAATCAAAAGTCTGGCCATCTGGTTTGTAAAATCCTTCGAAAGAAGCATCTTCATTCTGCACAACACAAATTATGTCTGTATTAAATCGAGAAGCACAGTTGTTTAGAAGCAAATTCATTTGCTAGAAGTACTTTCCTAGTGCGGTAAATAATCAAAGGGCCATAGAAACAAAAGAATCTTGTATCTCAAGGATGAGTATAAAGATATAAATGATGAGTCAATGCTAGTAAAAACAAAAATAAGGACAAAGCACACCTCACAAATGTCTGATATTTTTCCTTCAAATCCAGAAGCTTCTGTGGAGCACCAAGAAAGCTTTTGCAGTTCAGACTCGAGCTCTGCTTCCAGAAGGTCTATCTCCAGCACCTCTTGTTGTGGCTCTTCTGCAAGAACACTACTTGTACATTCACCTTCTTCAGTTACAAAGACACCAGAATCTTGAACATTGTCTCTGTTCTCAGTGCTTGACCGAGGTATTGGTTCAGTATGTTTGCCTCTAGTTTTGTATGGACTTGTACTAATTTCAGTTTTAGAACTTGAAACTTGCAAATTACGTGATGATTTTCTTCTAGAAAATTCAATTTTTAATTCTTGAACAACTTTTGTTGTCTCATCCACTACCGTGTTCAGCCTACTGATTTCAGCCTTCCCAGCAGACATCATACACATGATTCCAACACTTAGTCCCCAACTGAAAGTTGAATTGTCTATAAGGAATAATATGAATTAGATATGTAGAAGTAGAATTCAAAGCTGTCAAAACTGTTGTACTCTTCTATACTTCATTAATTTTCTAAGGTAAAATGGTGCTCAAAAGGTGTCATAAAGAATTTCATCCATAATGTGGGGGGTTTTATACATAGATTTATGATTAACTCAAATTCCAGATATGCTTACTGGGTGAAAGTCCAACTACACATGTCGGACACATCCTATACCCTTACCCAAAGGTTGAATGTCCGACACGATACTTCATGCATTTAGAAGAGTCCACATAACATAAGTTGGAGGATTGGTACAATTATTTATACATCTATCATTTGTAGAAAAAGTACCTATCACATGTATTATGTATAACACATGGTTAGCATGGATGGAATTGACAATATCATTCTGTCTAATAAAAGGGATGACAAGCTGAAGTTGGACTTCTCAAGTAACATCATGATGGTGCACTCAAGTAAGAGATGCGGTAGCATGTATTTACTAGCTTCGCCCAAAAATCATCAAACACTAAAATGTGATGAAAAATGTTGCGATATCCTCTTGTGGGACAATGTGATCAGCTATTGATATGGACATGGATCACACAACAAACATCCCTGCTCAACATTTGGATTTCGGTTTTGTTAATACAAATATATGAATAACAATAAATGAAAGAAGTGAGTGATTAAGACTATAAAGTGATTTGAGATGAAATACTTTCAACAAAATCGATTGGTTAAAATCTTTGTAGTCTTAGTGAGAGCACCATTCGCAAGAAAAATACATCTGAATTAAGTGTCATTCACATGCTAGGTGAAGAGCTTCTTTCGTTTCTGAAAATTAGATTCGAGTGTCACTAGATTTCAAAATGTGCATTAGAGAGTCATAAGAGAACTGAAACACCTCTGAAGTAAAAGTATTTCTGGAAAGACCAATTGGTTTTTGAAAACTATTGTTTGTATCATGCATACCACTAAAGGATCACCACTCACGAGTGGTTCCTCAAAAAAACTTGAGTTCTGAATTTCTCTTGGCAACAGCATATTGAGAAAATAGTATTCTCTCGTAGATTAGTGCATTGGAATAGCATTATTGGCGCCATTGAAATATGAAGACAGATTCAAGCTACTGATCAAACCCCGCATATTGAACTTAACAATGGGAAGATGACACATATCTTGCATGGGTTTGCTCGGATCACATTCAAAAAATGTTTTCTAAGGATTTAGATCATCACAATTCATACATACGTTCAGCAGTTCTTTGATGCCTCTCTAACCTTGCTTTACACCTCTGAGCTGATTCACCTTCAACTCCTACAAATCTCTCAAGTGTTATGGGAAGCTTCTTACAGAAAAAATATATCACAATTATAAGCAAAGCAGAAAAGCGTTGAAGGTTGATGAAAAAGTAGATTTAGTAAAACAGCAAAACTCCATATTGTACAGAAAATCATTGTTGGTGGTGTCCTACAAGATTCCACATGCAAGTAAATTATTTATAATGTTTCACATATCACGTACCACCATGAACTGAAGAATATGAATAAATGGGACCGATGGAAGACCCAACACCCTGAGATTGCACATCCTGCCATTTACCATCTGTTAATAGGCTGTTAGGCAAGCACTTCATAAATCACATCATGGAAGGGTATACTCACAGAAAACGAAGAGCTTTGTCTCATTCCACCATTTTTGTAACAAGCAGAGGACTTATCAGCCACTGATCTTTCAACACGTTCTCGAGCCTCAAAAGCAGACTTCTCAGCCATGACTTTTTGGAAAGCACGCTGTCGAGCCTCCGCAGTTGCTCTCTCTACTGTAGCACGCTCTGCCCTAAGCCTAGCCTCCATAGATGTCTTCTCCTCCATAGATGTCTTCGGTTTCGATGGATCCTTTTTTTTTCCTGTAGAAATTCAATGAGACAAAGATTAGAGAGAGAGAAGAAGAAGAAGGGGGAGAGAGAAATATAGAGAAAATTACTGAATTTACTTTTTCAATTGAAGATGCTGCTTTTCCTCCAACAGCCTCATGGATTCAGTTGTGAACGCCAAAAACGGAGACATTGGTTGCTGATTCTGTTCTTTCTTGCTCTTTCTTCACTGATCTTAGAGCCATATGATTTGAGGGAAACCTTTCTTCTTCTTGTCTTTCTTTTCTAGCTCTTTCTCTCTGTTCTGTTTTCAAGAAAATGTAGGAAAGTTTAGGGGGAAAACTAAACCAAGAATCATCAACTCTGAACCATCAATCTGGGTTTAGTTTCTGAGAAAATGTAGGAAAATTACCCTTTCTAAAGCTCCTTCATTTTCCCTCCATTTTCTCAGCAACCAAACATCGTATTATTGAAGAGGAAAAAAAAAAAAAGAACCATGGTGGGTTTGAACTCTTTCATTTTCTGCAACTTCTTGAGCTCCGTCTGAAGCATTTCTCGTTCTTTCCTCCTTGCTTCAAGCTCCTCCTCATTCATCTTCAAAGTCTCCTCTCTTGCCTTCAATAGCTCCTCAGTTTGCTCATTCTCGATCCTCAACTGTTGAAGCTTTTCTTGCATTTCTTGCAACTCTTTCTCAAAAGATTGATTTTGTTGTTGTTGTTGTTGTTGTTGTTGTTTCGCTTTCGTCCTTACTTTTTTAGCTTTCTTGGCGGATTGAGGCCGTGAGAGGCTCTCATGGTTTTCGAAGGTGGTGGTGATGGTGGTGGTGGTGGTTGGAATGGTGGTGGTGCAGGAGAGGAGGGGGAGGATGCCGGAGTACCAAAAGGCGGCGAAAACTTTATTCATCTTTGAGAGAGAGAGAGAGACTGTGTAATGGCGTCAAACACTGTCGTGTGTTTGGAAAGAGAATTAGGTAAAAGGTAGTAGTGGTGTCACCAAAAGGCAACGAAACTATATATGAATGAAGTGGTGCAATATGGAGAGAGAGTGATCAGCGGAGTATCCTAATTTGTTGCTCGAAATTAGCCAGGAATTGATATCCTAATTTATTGGCTCGGAATTGACATCGTAATCCATCCTAATTTTCATAATTTGGATGATTCTTATTTTAAAATTTATTAGGTAAAATATTTATATAAAAAATTAGGATAAATTATACTGACACTCCTTAATATTTATATTTATTACAGCTCTTCCTTTACATTTAGAAAATTACACTGATCTTCTATTAATTTAATTTTATGTATGATGATCATTGCGGTGAGGGAGGAACTGTTATGCAACTTTAAATCTCAAGAGGCAATTTGTAATGAAACTTTAAACCTCAGGAAGAGGATATAATTTCCAAAAGGTGAGGGGGAACTGTAATAAACATAAACCTCACGGGTTGTCAATGTAATTTACCCAAAAAATTAAGGGTAAATTACACTGACACCCCCTGAGATTTATATTTATTACAGTTCCCCCCTCACCTTTGGGAAATTACATCTCTCCCCTGAGGTTTAAAGTTTCATTACAGATTCTCCCCCTTAGCAATTTAATTTTTTTAAATACCAGTTTTTTCCTCACTGGATAAATTACATTGACCCTCTCACATTTTAGAAATTACAATCCTCTCCCTAAGGTTTAAAGTAGTATTACCAATTGCCCCTTCAGTTAGCATTAGTTGGAAAAAAATTCATTGAAAAAAAACTTGTTAGTAAAATTTTAAAATTTTTGTTTAAAAACCTACGTAAACTCATTTTTTGAATTTACATTTTTTTCTCAAATTTACAAATCCAAACAACCATTTATAAATTAAAAAAAAATTATCGAACAAGTTTTTATGACAGTTTTTAAAATTTTTGTAAATATAAATTGAAAATTAAAAATGAAATGATTACCAAACAAGTCTCAGATGGTAAAAATGTCGTAAAATTAACAAATAATTAAATAAGTTACTAACGTAAGAAATGACTTATCAAAAGATTCTTAGGCTATGTATAGTTTGATTTTTTTAAAAAAAAAAATTTAAAAATTAAAAACTAATTTGGTTAAGAAATAAAAAATAAAAAAATAATTATCATTTAAGGGTAAAAAATAATTATCATTTTAATTTTTGAGCAGGTTACATACATACGTATGGTCGTTTCAATTTAATTTGTAAAAAATTATTTTTAACCACTCGACCGATAAAAATTATATAAAAATGATAATTATTTTTTATTTTTTATTTCTTAACCAAATTAATTTTTAATTCTTAAAAAAATTCTAAAAATCAAAGCATACATAGTTTAAGAATCTTTTGATAAGACATTTCTTACGTTGGTAACTTATTTAATTATTTGTTAATTTTACAATATTTTTACCATCTGAAGCCTGTTTGGTAACCATTCTATTTTCAGTTTTTAGTTTATATTTCCAAAAATTTAAAAAACTGTCATAAAAACTTGTTTGATAATTCTTTTGGTTTATAAATGGTTGTCTCAGTTTATAAATTTGAGGAAAAAACATAAACTCAAAAAATGAGTTTATGTTTTCAGTTTTCAATTTTTTTTTTCAATTAATTTTTTTTCAAATAACTTTTTTTTTTCAATTAATTTTTTTTCCCAAATAATTTTTTTTTTCAATTATTTTTTTTCAAATAATTTTTTCCCAATTAATTTTTTTTTCAATTATTTTTTTAAGTAAGTTTTTTCGAATAATTTTTTTTCCAATTAATTTGTTTTTCAATTTTAATGTGTGTGATCCCATTGTCATAAATAATAAAAATAAATATAAATATTTGAGGCCTGAACAAACATATTTTTTAGTTTATGTTTTTAAATTTTTTTAAAACATTTTATTCAAACCAAACACGTTTGTAATTTATGTTTTTCTTAAAATAAACAAAAACTAGTTTATAAAATTTTTGAAAACATAAACCAAAAACGTAAACGTTACCAAACGCACATTTGTATTCAGTTTTCAATTTATATTTACAAAAATTTAAAAAATTGTCATAAAAACTTGTTTGATAATTTTTTTGATTTATAAATGGTTGTCCCAGT